TGTCACATGAGGAAAAGTATATATTCATAAAGAAGATGCATCAGTGCCATTGCCCCAGTCTCATAAAGCAGATCGAAATCAGATTGCTAAAATTAGGCCTCGTTCACACGGGGTGTGTTGCCCTCTACAGCATGGGGGGCTGGTTGTTGATGCTTCTGGAGCTAGGGTAATAAGTGTATGGAATCATAGGAGCTGTGCGCCCTCATGCTGCTTTATGCAGCTTCAAATTTTGACGGCTGCGCATAGACGGTATGCATCCTCGGATGCAGACATGATGTATCCAGGTCTGTACATCGTCTGTGTCCGGCTATCAAGAATCAGAGCTGCAGGAAGCAGAGTGTGAGGACGCACATCTCCTTTGTCTCCATAGAGTAACATAAGCTTCTTCCCACAGCTCTGGGTACATCAACAACCGGCCCTAATGCTGTACGGAGCAGCATGCCCAGTGTGAATGAGGGCTTCCTTTTAACATATGTAATTTGAAAAGCCAGTTCAATATTTGTAATTCTTCAGCCATAAAGGTTCTTGTTCAGGTACTTCCTGTTACACTCTGTCCTTGTCACATTGCACAAGCATGGTCCACTGCTGACACCAATCAGGAAGCCCATTCTAAGGCTGACCATACACCAATTTTTTTTGTCCAACCTGCGGGCTGAATGAAAAAAAAATTAAACTGATTCCTCCATCAACACAAGCAGAGTTTCGATCGAGGAATCCCGCTGTTTACATTGTATTCCGACAGGTGCCGCCAGCGTCTGTTAGAATACCTGATCAAAACGGGCAGCTTATTGGCTGCCAGGTATGAACAAACAAAAATTTTCCAGCAAAAGAGCTGACAGCCCCACACATGCGCAAATTTCAAAAACCGGTACATTAAAATCCGGCCAGAATTCGAACAAACGTATGGGCACTGTGGCAGTGCCACTGTGTAATCTCCATGTCTGTGTCCATATTTTGATAGTGTCCAGCACATGCTGATGGCACAGGTGTACACAGCCTTTAAAATAAAGGTATTGGGAAGGGTTCAGGGCTCCATCTGGTAGAGAGGAAAGCTCCACCCAGGAGTCAGAGTGGGTTCCAGTGCAGCAGGGTGCTGCGGATTGAAGAAAAAAAAAAACAGTTTGCAGGTTAGCACACGACTGAGGCTGCCAGAAGGAACAGACAGTGGCCCGGGGCCGGAGCAGCGATGCTGCAAATGCAAGGGGCTGGATGGGCATGTGCTGCCAAGAGATGCGAAAGAACCCCTTTGAGGGCAATTGCTTTATTTTGCGAAGTTTCATTTAATGAAAGTGGGCAAGGAAGCCCTTAGATGAAGATTTCAGCGAGTGGATGTGTCCTTAATGCGCTAATGTTTGGAGCGAATTCTCACAGTAACGATGTGAAGCAGACCCCGGAGGTAGAGCATGTAAAAAGGAATGGATTGAAAAGAGGTTAAAGGCAGTTTTTATTAAAAAGAAAAAAAATTTAAGTGAATTTTGAACTCAAATAATGCTTAGTGCCCTTCTGACCGATTACCTGTAAAATGATCATTCAATACAACAGTGTATACGGCAAGGTTTAGAACGCAACCACAGTAAACTGCAATCTTCCTCTTTATTCCTTACTTAATGCACTTTTTTGTGTGTTCAAAGGCTGTGCCTGACATGTCTCTGGCCTCAACAAACCAGATAAGAATGTGCCAGGCTGCCCTTACCATGCCACCACTACTAGCACTGACAATGAGTGGTTGTAGAAGGCACCATTCAGGCCTGTGGCAATTACACAGCTACCCTACAGCGATCCGGAATTATTGAGACGCTCGATTAAACCTCAGATTTTCCTGCACAATAACAGACATCCTCGTACTTGCGGGCCAAACAAAGACTTGCTTTTATTCTTGCGAGGGAAAACCAAAAAGTGTGGACACGACTGAAGTTCATCATGCTTTGATGGGCTACATCATCGCAGACTGGAATGTCCAGCAAATACAGCGAGAATCAATAGTAATGGAACTGTTAGACTGCCTATGAATGGAGGGGAGGAAAGGGTGTAATTACATTAATAGCAGCAGTGGCGGACCTAATAACCAAAGGGCCCTGGTGCGAGGTCGGGGGGTGTTCTTGAGCGGATCACACTGGCCCCCGCACCCCCAGCGGTCTCTAATGTTGCAGTAGCGTGCTGGACTTACCTGAGACCCTGCAGAGTACACCATAGATCCAGCATAGCCCACCTCTCTATGGTGGGCTCTGCAGGGTCCCAGGTGGGCTGGTCTGGTCGCCAGGGTCCCTTTCCCTGTACCTCCTCCCAACTCTTCTTACCTGCTGCTGGGGCCCAGCCTCCTCCACCCCCTCCCCTGTCACCTCTGCCATGCTGCCCCGGTACAGTTGATAGCCATGTAAGAGGCTGCCCAGACCCCTCACATGGGTACCGGCCATACCCCCCCTGACGGCGGTGTTCTATCAAAAGGTTGTGACTATGTTAGAATGTGTGACCGGTGACGTGGTCACACATTTTAACGTAATACCGCCCAGTTTTTCGGTGGTGGAATGTGTGACCGCCAATAGGTGAAGCATTCCAGCGCTTTCCCAGAGCAGAACGGCATCGCAAATAGCATGGGCAGGAGAACCGATCTGCCCTGAAACAGATGATCGGTCCTGAAATGTCACTTCTCTCCGACTGCGATCTCATATTCCACCGCACTCACAAAGTCGGATCAAAAATAAAAAAAAAAAAAAAAAAAAAAAAAAAAAAAAAAAAAAAAAAAAAAAAAAAAAAAAAAAAAAAAAAAAAAAAAAAACGACAAAAAACAAGATTCCTTTCAAAACTGCTTTATCTTCCATAAAATTACAAAAAAGGACTACAAAATACATTTCAAGTGCAAAAATAACTTTTCAAAATAAATCTTTGTACAAAATGGTAAAAACCAGATTTCACAAATGGAACAAAAGATAAAAATCATAGTCACTGTTCACCCGATAAGCTTTTAATCATGGTTGCTAAAAGACTCGCATGGCATTATGAGAGCTCAGTGCTTGTTCCTATTAAAATCTCTCAAGGGAAACATAGAAGCTGCAATTGCATTATAAAAATACTAGTTGCTTGGCTGTCAGGTCTAGCTTCAATATTTTAAGTTGCGGACCTTAATAAGTATCGCCTGACTTCACCCTACCTGGAGTTTCCAACTATACATACACACTTGTTCCAGGTCAGTGACTTGGCTTTCATGTCGACCCATTGTCTTGTTAACTTCCAAGAACTAGCATTTCATAACATGGACAGCAATTTCTCTTACACTGACCGTACTGTAAATCTGACTATACAATCCCCTTTTGATCTACCATTAACTATGCAATGATTTGATACAAACTAAATGGATTGTTCAAATGTGTTCTCATATTACATGGTTTTGGTAAATCTAATGACGGTATAAATCAGTTAGCATAGTATGTGGTTAGCTTTAAAAAAAAAAAAAAAAAGCTGCTAAACTTAGGAGTTAGGCATTTCAATGCATTTGAAAGGTTCAACTATTAACAAAAAATCTTATTTGTGTATCACTTGACTGTAGAGCCTCAAATCATCTCTGAATTGGTGCCGACACTGTCCTTCCTTCTGGAGGGTGGCTACTTTTGTTCCCATGGTCCCCGTGTGTTGTAAAGTAGACACCGCTCTAAAAGATCACTCCAGTGATGGACTACAATCCCATTGCAAATTAGTAAACTGGTGAGATTGTAGTCCATCACTGGAGTGAGCTTGGAGCGGTGGCTACTTTACAACACAAGAATATTAAGTAAATGTCACCAGCACACCAAAAGTAATTCAGCAAAAGTCAATTTATTGACACATTGCCATTCAGTACTTTATAATACAGTACTTTTATAATACTCCAACAAGCCTTTTCTCTGGCCCTGTCACTATTACTAAGAGCTTTACAAAGTACCTAAAACCATCTGGGGCCCAGCACACCAAAAGTCATTCAGCAAAAGTCAATTTATTGACGCATTGCCATTCAGTACTGAATGGCAATGCGTCAATAAATTGACTTTTGCTGAATGACTTTTGGTGTGCTGGTGACATTTGCTTAATATTCTTGGGTTATGCACGGTGCCGTCCGTGGTCGCTACAAGCACCCACCTGCTTTTGCAGGTCTTCTATTTTTTATTTTACTTTACAACACCATGGGGAACAAAAGTAGCCACCCTCCAGAAGGAAGAACAGTGTCATCATGAAGTCAGATGATTTTAGAATCTACAGCCGAGTGATAAACAAATAAGATACATTATTGGTAATAGCCAAGGTATGTGAATACATTTTTAAGGTTTAACTCCCGAGTCTAGTGTCACTTTAAGGAAAGATTTACTTTACCAATGTAATTTTGCAAGGGGTTACCCTAAAAGCGCACCACATACGTTACAGTCTGATTGTACAATCTCCTTTAGATCTGCCAACAACTATATAGTGCAAGGACCTGCCCGATTTGATACAAATTGGATAGCTTAGGTAGGTCTTCAGATTACATAGTTTTGGTAGATCTAAAGTTGATTGTACAGTCAGACTGATGTGTATGGTGAGCCTAAAACAGCCAATTTGTCCATAACACCCATGTATGTTCTATTGTTCCAATGGAAGTTTAAAGATGAAAGCCTAACGGGTACTCATAGCAACACAGTTATTTCATATATGAGGCCTGGATTCCTCTGGTAATGTCATCCTGTTCTCTTCAGCAAGGATGGCCAATGCTATTTTTCAAATACTTCAATTGGTTGCACACTCCCTATAGTTTTCTGCTTGTATGTTTCTTAGAACAACAATTTTGGTTATACAATTTATCCAAGGAATTTCAGGAGGTATGGCTGGTTAATTGAAGCCTTCACAGTGCTTTTCCAGGTAGCATATGGTCTAGATTAGATCCACTGATCGCGTTAGAGTTCGATAAGGAGTAAACATAACACAATGTTATTTAAAAAAGGCACAACAGTTCAAAAACAGAAGCTGTGCATGTCCATCACACTTCAGCTTTCTGGTTATAGAGCATGTGACGAGTCTGGAGAGGACCCACAAGAGAAGAACACAGGTTGCTTTGATTGGTTGGGTAACAGTGGGGTCGGAAGTTGGCATCCCCAAGCTGCACGGAGTTGTTACCGATTGGGTAAGTGGCCAGTCCGGTAAAATAGCACTTGGAGGGTGAGAAGTCCCCAGAGATCGTCACAGAGGGCCAGCTGCCCATCATGGCAGATGTGAAGCTGGTGAGACACTGACTTGTGTCCAAGGGTGGAGACAACTCAGGAGAAGACTTGACCTTGATGTCGGAATGTCCCCCAAGGCTGCCTGACCTTTGGGATTTTGGACTATTCTTGGTGTTCATCTTTTCATTGAGTTCCATCACTTGACCAGTAATTCCATCACACTTCTTCTTCCTCTTCCGCCTGAATGTTCCTTTATCAAACATCTTCTCACAGTTTGGATCCAGCGTCCAGTAACAGCCCTTCCCTGTGAACAGATTGCAATAAAAAGATAAATATAAAGCCTACCTTTGCTTGGATTTAAAACGCCATCTGCAAAGTATATTCTGTTTTACATAAAACATTTTAAGTGTGAGATTTTTACTTTTACATACAAGCCATGCCATGCAAGGCCATGAGGCAGCCTGAGACAGTTGCCTCGGGTGGCATCTCATTGGCTCAGGCCAGAGCATCCAGTTGCTAAGAGCTCTTAGCAACCCATGACGCTCTGGCTGGCGTCCCACCCAGCTCACTGACATTACTGGTTCCCAGGAATTGAGCGAGATGCTCTGGCTGGCATCCTGCCCAGCTCCTGGCAACATGTGATATCAGTGGGATGGGCAGGACATCCAACCCAGAGGCAGCACCAGCACCCCAACCTCCCAGTAATGTGCACCACCAGCAATGCACTGCTAGCAACTTTCACATGTACAAGAGTGTATTTCATATCCTGATCATAACATTGGTCCCTTCAGAGGAGGACCATACAATCAGTATCCCTGCTGAAAGTCTACAAAGATCAAGTCAATTGCAGGATAAGTCACACGGTATGCACGGTTACCAGTATGGCCTGATCCAGGGAGAAGAGAGTGGAGTGCAATATTAAAGCCCAAAAGTAGTTTTCCCATAAACAATACAAAGTTAAGTCAGTTTCTATCTTTAATGCTCCCTCAGTCCCAGTGCAATACTCATATGGCTGGCAACAACGTGCAAATAAAGATCGCTGTGCACTATGTGAGAGCAGAGGTCTCATCCCCCCCAACCTTGTCATAACTACAGTCCTGCAATCAACAATCATGCTCTGTGCAAACTGCAGCGTTATAGCCCAAGTCAGCAGAGGCTATGCCAGACTTCTATAGAGAACGCTGCTCTCTGAGCACAGCAGTATTTCGCTGCTGGCCATAAAGGTTTGTGCAGGGTTAGAATTGGGGGTATTGGCGCTTCAAAGTACAACGCAAGCAAAAACTTCACCATGTTCCTGTGGGGATAACTTCTTAACCTGGTGACCACACAGGAAGTGAGGGAAAGTTAGACAGCAATTAAAACCTCACAGATAATTTTTACAATAAAGCACTGGTGTCCCAGGATCTACCAGCACAGGGTTTGTTTTGTGTCTGAAGCATGTGCATGCTCATTGGGCAATGTGAGTTGTGGTGGGCTGATGGAAAGGGCAGCATTTTTTGTTGTGTAAGGCAGCCTATTCAATGTGCTGTCTTAACGCAACACATTACATGCGGCTTAACGAACATGCACAAATGTAGTGCAATGGTGAGAATGGGCCCCAGATGGTTTTAGGTACTTTGTAAAGCTCTTAGTAGTGACAGGGCCAGAGAAAAGGCTTGTTGGAGTATTATAAAAGTTCTTAGGTTGTCAGACACAGCTCTAGATTGCCCAGGAGACCCATTTACACCTACAGTCTACATTTCCTTAAGCCTTTTACTACTCTGGGAAGCGCTTTAAAACCATTATCCATGTTCAGTAATAGGAATGCTCTCCCGGGCAAGAAACTGGCCCTAACCTCAAGACTTCCCATCCCTAATGAAACCCTCTGGTTGTTGTCGTCAGGAATTATCAGTTACTACTGGCAGCAAGAATGTTCCTCCTAAACAGGCGCTTTGATACACAAGGCTCACCGAGGGCCATTTATCAATACTACAGGAACAGAAAAACAGTTTGTTGGTTTCACTGTTGAAGTAGACCTAAAGCCAAAATGTTTTGTCAGGTTTGTTTGCCATCTGTGTCCCATTGGCGATGTTTCCCCTCACTACCTTTCCGATATCTACAACAAGAAGTCAGAGGAAATTCCTCCAAAGTGAAATAAATCCCTGAAGGTCAGCAGGGTCACCAGAACTAGTATCCCCATTAGAGAATTTCCCATCTTATTCTGTTTTGGTGAAAACACTAAATTTGGGATTTTCTTTTAGTTGAGGATGGTCACCAGGATAAACAGGGGATGCATTTCCCGAACAGGGACACAGCCTGCAATAAAGACCTAACAGGTGTTCTAAACCCTCTCCACTATATCCAAAACTAGGGGGTTAGGGATTTGGCTTCAGTTGCACTTTAGGCCCATCTCCAGGTGTAAAAAAAATAAATAAAAAAGTATCCTTGCAGTGGGGCTACATCCATTCTGAAAAGGTTAAGTGCTAGTTTATGTCTAGGGGGATGGACTAAAGCAGATTTACATTCCTGATTCTGCCAGGCTGCTAGACTGGTCCTCACAGCCTCTTCACCCCCAATATATTTAAACACTGCACCCCCGCTAAATAAAAAATATCCACAAAATGCTGCCGATTTGTTCTATTACAGAGCTTTTAAGAACCATTCTGCCCTGAGTTTCCAAATTCTGTCAAGTTGCTAAAGGATGGTGAAAAGCATCATTTGCTATTGGCAACATTAACATTGTCCTTTATACAGGCGACAGGTTGGGCTGCTGAAGAGAACTCCAGTTTGATATTGCAAAGCAGGGAAATAGGGTCTGTGAATCAGGGTCTGTGAATCAAATACAACTAAATTTGTTTTTAAAGCAAGCCTGCTGCCCACCCCTAAATTCTTAAAATGCCAACTGCCTGGCTGTCACATTGATTTGGCATCACTACTCTAAATGAGTATATAGATCAGAAGGTGAAACTTTGCCTGAACTTTACTGGCCTCGTGCTCATTTTGGATCTGACTGATTTGATCTGGCAAATATTGGGGCCCATTTACACCACTGTAGTGCTTTAATGCGAGTCGTGTTTAAGCATTCATTTATTAGGATGCCAAACAGAAAAAGTGCATGTACCATTTCGGTCAGTGCAATATACAATCAGCAAGGTGCATTGGTGTGCCATGCAGAATTAATGAATGGCACATTATCTTATGTAAGGTTACCTCAATGCAACAGTGTAAATAGGCCATTGATGCCATAGACAGGACAGCCAGATATCTAGCATTTCCACAAGGTTAGGGAATAGCTGCATCTATATACCGCTCAGTACAGGTTTCCTAAAATGTACACTTTCATGAGTTTTACATGGAGGCAGCCATTGCTAACCACCTTTTTCTGAAATAAATAGTTGTCTGGCTACCATGCACATCCAGTGGCTTTAATAATTCCCCAGGATAAAGGCCAATCAAACCACAGCATTGTAGTAAGTCATGCCATGTGCATTGTGGTGCCATTCATTGTGAATGGCATCTCAGCTCACCTGCATTGCAGCACATGGTAAGGCACTACTACTGTGCCTTGGAGTGCAAAGCAAAATGCAACAGGTCCTATTTAGCTTTATTACTCATTTGAATATGCTCCTTAAACACACTGCAACAGACCTGACTTGGTGTGAACTAGAGTCTAAATTTGCAGACCACCAGATCTAACTTTGCTCTCATTGATCTGCATCCTTGTTCCAGATCAATGTCTCAATATTGAAGACAGAGAACCAGGCAACTAGCATTTTCATTAGCAGGTCAGCAACTGAAGTATTCAGATTACATGGGCACAGGCACAAACCTCCAGACCCTGGAAAGGCTTAAAAGGAACAAGCTACACAAAGAATATTATGAAGTTGGTTATTTTTCTGGCCCAAATTAAAATATCAAACAAACCAGAAATATATTCTAAAAGGTGGAGCAAGACAATTAAATAGATACTACATATAATAATAGAACTAAATGACATCATACCCTTAATTAGAAGTTTACCCCCTCCCTCCACTTTACCTGGGTCATTGTCATCCCTTGCCACCTTCTTGAAGCAGTCATTTAGGGACAGGTTGTGCCTGATGGAGTTCTGCCAGCCAGCTTTGCTCTTCCTGTAGAAAGGAAAGTTCTCAACCACATAGCTGTAGATCTGGCTGAGGGTGAGCCTCTTGTCTGGACTGTTCTGGAGGGCCATGGCGATCAGGGCAGAGTAGGAGTAGGGTGGTCGCACCATCTGGATCAGTTCCTCCTGGTTAGGGTAGGAGAGCCATGGCACCTCTGCTGGACTGTACCCAGGCGGAGCTGGCACCACCTGAGCCTGGCTGCCCCCATAGCAATGAGATCCACCACCATTCAGGTAAGGAGAGGGGCTGATGGTCGAACTGTTGAGCCACCAGTATGCGCTGCCATTTGGAGGTGGGTAGTCACTGATGCCACCATATGCCGGCGTGTGGGCAGCTGTCTTCTGTGGCTGGTACAGGCTCTGCGGATAGAGGTTGAAGTTGTCACAGTAAAGTGCTTTATCCAAGTCCTGGGCATAGGTGTACCCTGGCTGGGGGGTAGAGGAGTGCTGTCCATACGCATTCATACTGCCTCCACTAAGTGCTGCTGAGTATAGACGGAGGTGTTGAGCTGCGAGCTCAGGATCAGCATTGGAGACACTTTATTATGCACAGCTGCCTGTCTATCTGCAATCAAAGCAGGACCAGCTGAAACACATTGGAGTAATGAGAAGCCTCCCACCTCCAGACCGCCCACTGACACTTCGACGGTCCTGGAGGGAGAGCAGTCCGGGGTCTCTGGTAAGTGGAGGGTGCAAACTTTGACACCTCACTTCCATTATCCTGCATATCTGGGGACACCTTAGCTTTCACTCACTCTCATTATCCAGGATATCTGGGGACAAGTCAACCTCACTACACCATCCTGGATGGCTTAGCTCTTAAAGTTCTCCTATCAAAGGGGGTTTTATCTCTCCTGTTCTGTCCAGTGAGGAAATGATCAGATTGCAGTGTATCAGTTTAAGAATCCAGAAGGGGAGTAGGATTTCATCTTATATCTATCATATCTGTAAAATCTAAGAAGACATAAAGAAAGACTGATTCATAAAACTCAAGAACTAGCAACTCCCTGGTTATAAAAATACAAAAGTATACAATGTATTGATAAATGATATGTAATACAATGTATATACAAAATAAAACATCAGATGGGTGCAAGTTTTATATTTGTGATGGGTGTGCACCCAGGTGATGTTTTGTATCAATACAATGTATACTTTTATATAATCATAATCCTTATAGATTAAAATAAAAACAATTAATAAAAATAAATAATATATACATTGTATACTTTTTTATTATTATAATCCTTAGTGAGTTCCTATTTCTTGAGTCCCTTTTATACAATCTGTATTCCCAGATTCAAATACATCTATATATACATTGTATACTTTTATATAATTATAATCCTTGGTGAGTTACTAGTTCTTGACCCTCTTGTAAAATCTGTATGCACAGATGAAATCTATATACTTTTGTATTTTTATAATCCTTGGTGAGTTACTATTTCCTGAGTCCTTTTCAACGATGGTGGATTGGCAGAGGGGGGATGCAGACACTGAGCGGTTGGTAAGGTGAATGAGTCTGGCAGCTGCATTCATGATAGATATAAGGGGGGATATTCTGTGTAGTGGAAGGCCAATGAGGAGGGAGTTACAATAGTCAAGACGAGAGATAACAAAAACTGGAGCAGATAGTTTCCTTATGGTAACCAATCAGCATCTCTCTTCAGTTTGTACTATTAAGCTTTCTAAATGAAAGACAAAACCTGATTGGTTACCATGGGCAACTGCTCCAGATTCTGCAGACCGTGATCAGCATGTTGCTTGCAGGAAGAGTACACTAGCTGGTTATAGATGTGTAGATAGTATTTTGCTACAAATAGTGCACAACAGACACAGTGACATCTGGCTCCAGCTTTATTTTTTACTGGAATTTGTTTCTATCTGTCCAGTTGATAGAAGTAGATCTAAATGCAATCACTACAATCTCATGGGCTCACGAGTGCCACCCCCTGTGTGCAATTTCTGACACACACACTGGTTACATCTGACATTTTACGTCTGAGAGCATGCACAGGTTTATGTAGTGCTGATGTATACATGCAACAACAGTGTACAGTCTTTGACTTTAATATGAGGTTTTATGCTGCACCTGGAGGTCTCTGCTGCGGACGTATGTCAGCATTTTTGGTGTATGGGCGCCAGCGCCGATACAGTGGAGATGGGTTGGAACCCATGTCAGGTTCAGTATCTTGCTAGTCGGCCCGGCTGGCTGTCAAAATACCTGAACCATCTTATTGGATGTAGGCACTGCTCAGGTGATTTGTGAGCCAGCGGGGAAAGATACTGAAGCTTTGTCTAGGGGAAGATTCCTCCGTCCGCACAGTGTAGCGTAGATGGAGGAATCTGTTGCACTTTTTCCATCTGACCATAGAAAATCTGCAACATTTTTAACACACTCACTCACACGCGTTTCACTAGAAAAAGTACATGAGCTACTTCAATGGGAAATGCCGGGAAATGCGTTCGAAGCATTTTGTTGCGCCTTTTTATTGCGCCTTTTGATGCACCAAGTTTCCTATTGAAGTCTATAAGAAACAAATGTTGTAATCTGCCAAAAAGTGTCTGATGTACTTTTTCCAGTGACATGCGTTTTTCTGCTTGCGACAAAATGTTCAGGTGTGGACAGGAGCCATAGAAATGAATGGGATTGCTTGTCTTGAGCATTTTCACGTGCTTTGCTTTGAGCTACAAAATGTTCAGGTGTAAATGGAGACTTAGGGTGACCTGCAATTGTACTCTCTGATTTACTTCCGATCTGTTGCGTTGCGATCCGTTTTTCAACAGATGTGAACAGAAGGGCACTAAAAAATGAATGGGTGTGAATGGAGCTAGTTCACACTGGATCCGTTGCGCTGAAAAAAAAGTGCATGTTCTACTTTTTTTCAGCGCAAAATAACGTAACTCAATGGAACGGAGCTGTGTGAACTAGCCCTATTCACATCCATTAATGTTTCGGTGACCATTTGGAAGAAAAAGGGGTTAACATTGAAATTTCTTATAAGCTGTATGCAACCTGTATACAGGGCCGGATTTACTCTCCCTGCCGCCCCAATTATTTTTTAATAATTTGTTTCTTATTATTTTTTACTTTTTAATCACCCTTTTATTTAATTATTTCATATTATTTTTTTTAATTTTTATTTATTTAATTTTTTTTAAAGGAGAACTA